GATCCCCGAATGCTCAGCCATCGGAGTCCTATTACTTCATATAAAAAAACGCTGTTTTCCATTTTCTCAGGTGAGTGTTAAGTTGTAAAATTAAATTTAAAAAAAAAGGCAACGGTCGTACCAGTACCAGTTACTGTTTTTGCACTGTCCACCGTGCCAAAAGTTTAACTTAACTTACTTTCAACTAACTTTGTACACTAGTGCTCAGTTAATGGCAAGCCTAATCTAAATATAACACCTTAGAGATATTATTTATTACATTAATTTTTCAAAGATACTCCCACAAGCTACTATAATACTATGCGTCGCCTGTTGTTGAATTGAATTTACTGACGTTACGAGAATCATCCCTTTGCCTTCTTCAGAGTTTAACTAAAACTTACCTGCTGGTATATTCATTGAGGGGGAGGAGCTAAAGGTGGGGCATAAACACAGCCTCGGATGACTGATTCCTATATTAGAGAAAGGTAAAGATGCGAGTAGCGGCTATGATTATTTGGTTGCTTATAGATTTCTATAGATTCTAAGATTTTTCGTTAGTAGAAGAATTGATCACATGCAAGAATTTCACGCAGAAGGAATCCAGAAGTTTTGTAAATAGTATTACAGTAGCCTGTGGAAGATTCTTTGAGAAATTAACACGTCAAAATTTTCAAAAGCAGTTACACTATCGGAGTATTATACATTTTCGAGCCACATGAAAACCGCTACGCCACTGTTCTTTTTATATACACCCTCCTCCAATTCTTAAAGCCGTATTCGGTACACCTAATGCAAAGCAATGCAACCATTAAAATCACGCAGGGGTTGCTGTTAATGCTGATGGGGTGTATGAATGACCGAACACGTGCCAACAGTTCTACGCCGTCACACGTCTACAAAAGAAATCGTACATATTGGGGCCAGTAGCTGAAAAATCGCCCCGAAATGAACCATCAACGATTTAAATTGACTTGTAGCCTGTGAAATTTCACAACGTTTCATTACTGTTTGTATTAGATATGCCAAAAGCCTAAAGCAAAATTGTATTTATTTATAGAACAAATCTAATTCATTCTACAATTTTTTTATTTTAAATATCTTGTCTTGTCTTCGTTAAATGAGTAACCCAAATTGTAGAAATTTTACAAAATAAAAACAGGCAATTTTAAATTAAATTCTACTAACAAAGGTACATATTTATAATAGTGTTTTATAATTTTTTATTGAAAAAACATAAATTAAAAAATTATAAAAAATGCTTGTGTGGAGAAATAATTTCTCAAAACTGTGATAAGCTTACATATAATATGAATATACACTATGTATATTTATATAATATAAATTTATAAACTCTGTTAAAAACGTTGAACGTCTTAACAAAATTATGTCTATAATAAATAAAAACAAAAAGTTCAGATTTTCACAAAATTATATATTTTGACATGACAATTGCTTCGACAACACCGTGTGTCATATATATATATATATATATATATATATATATATATATATATATATATATATATATATATATATATATATATATATATATATATATATATATATATATATATATATATATATATATGTATATATATATATATATATATATATATATATATATATATATATATATATATATATATATATATATATATATATATATATATATATATATATATATATATATATATATATATATATATATATATATATGACACAATATTCCGGGATATCATCCGTTCGCTTGTTGAACTGCGACTGGAATCCTGCAGACGTTTCGCCAAAATCTCACTTGGCTCTTCAATGCTCGCGCTCCGAAAACACTTCGAACACTATATATATATATATATATATATATATATATATATATATATATATATATATATATATATATATATATATATACATAAAAAATAAAATATAATTTCATGAAAATCTGATAAATGGATTTTCATCAAGTAAAAGCCAAAATTAAAATTACCTTGACTTGAACTATGTTACCTAATTCTATACCATTGTTTAGTTTCTAAAGCTCGATAAGAAGCAATTCTACCTTTCTATATCTCTTTTTTTATGAGTCGAAAAAATATATGCGGTTTATTTGTTCAGTTCAGAAACCTGACACCACATTTGAGAATTTAATTTTTTGTCTTTAATTACGGAAGTATTACTTACGAATACTTCTTTTTGAGAAGTAGAGTTCGAATTTACTAGAGAAGTGGGTAAAATTACTTCAAATATTTGCTAGTTCACCAGCGGACATTTAAATTGCACTTAAGGGTACTTTCGGTCATGTTTTTATAAGTAGCTTCAAAAATCCCGCAATCTGAGCATGAATTTCTAGAGCTGCTTGAAAGAAAGGCGGATGCTGTTCCTCCAACGTGATTTCCACTGAGTGTACCGTTTTTTGATTTTTGAAAAGTCACTCTACCCAAAACACGTCTATCTAGAAAGTTAGTTTGTCCACAGGCCACGGTAAATTGTAAAAGTTATCAGTTTTTTTTTTCAAAATTTTAAAATTGTTTTTGTGTTGTATTTCATCACCGCCAGATAGCGCACGATGAATTAGAAGGATCTAGTGAACAGATCAACGGATTTCTTCTAAATTATGCAGAGTTGTGTAAGACAGGTGCTCTCTCTTGCTTAGTTTAAAAAACACTCCGTATATATCCTTCCATTTTTAGGTTATGCGGAAGAAATAAGATAGGTTTTGTTCATTTCTTCTAATAGCTTCGTACATCCAAATAAAAAATAATTACCTATTTTTTTTTTACTATTTGACTATTTCGACTAAATAGCTTTAATTAAAATAATCTAATATAATCTAAGAAACTATGACCTTTTAGAAAAAAGCTTTGCAGTTTGAAGTTAGCATCTTTCATCCCGATCTTTTGGATTAATGACTTGCTGTGCTGTACTTTAATGGAACAAAAAGCAGAACTTTTGCAGAGATTTGCTGAGACTGTTCAAAGATGCCATTTTAGATGAAATATACAGGGTGTGCCAAAAATAAAAAACTTTACGTGAATACTAGAAACACGTTTTTTACACCTAATATTCTTTCATTTTCTAAATTTAATAATGGAACTAACCCAGTGTTGTTGATGTTTCCTTATACCTATCTATTATCGATTCAATAAAATATATTAAGATCTGGGCGTAACTTAGGCACAAAAAGGGCGTGTGAAATGTTTGGTTGTATTCTCTGGAACGAATCAAATTTGCAACAAATGAAAACTTTTTCTACCTACCTTGTACTACTTACTAGTAGGACGTATACTCCAGTATGCTTCGTTGGTCTGGTTCCCCCTTTACGGAAAAAATAGAAAACATTCATGCTTGGCATGCTATATCGAACTATACTTCGAAAATTTCGTTATGAAACACGAGAACCAAAGCGGAAGAAATCTGCATTATTTTTTTTTTAAATTAGTTCATTATGAAATTGATTGTTTCAACTGTAACCCCTATTTCACAAATAGGAGTAGAGTTTTTTTTTTAAATAGATCCGGTACCAATGTTGGTGTTAACCCTCCACTATTCCGAATGTGTAATTTAACGAACACCCTAACAAACGAAATGGACATTTTTAATTGTACTTCCACTAATCGATTCAAAAACCACTTGAAAATAAAATAGTATTTAAAACCTGAAGTATGGTATTTACTGTAACCTATAAATTTCAATGCGATGAGTATGGATTTGCTTATGCGATTGTGTTTTTCGGTTTATACAAGGAACTTGGCTTCAGTGTTTGATAACGTGGGATTAATATAAATAAGATTTGTGTTTGTAATCTGTTTAAATAAATAAATAAATTACTGTCTCTGAAATAAAAATTATTTGTCATGATTTTTGCTTAATATCGACATTACACCAGTCATTTCGAAGAAAGTTTTTTCGCATATAGCCATAGAGACACAATGCCTTTAATTTTAGTTTCTTTCCAACTATTTCGCAGTTTTTCGACATCAGCTTTAATTACAATAATCTAATAAAATATAATAAAGTAAGACCTCTTAAGCAAAACTGTTCACGAAAAAAAAAGCTTTGCAGCTTGAGGACAGAATCTTTTGTATTGATTGATTTATTAATGATATTCGAAAAAAGGCAAGGTAGTTGTTAAGTCAAATGCAAATTAGATTTTAGGAAGTTCATTCCTCTTTAATATCAGATACTTTCTTCTAAATGATGGTGTTCAATGTTAAATATTACATAAAAATAAAAAAAATTATTTGTTTTTGAAACTTCAGTACAAAGCCTTATTTTTGAAACACTTGCATACTCCATCTAAAACTATTTAATTAAAACACGAAATTAATAACATTTCTTCAACGCTACAAATTCCTTACAAAATCCAGCATATTATTATTTATTTCGATGACGGTATAGGGAAATCACAACAAAATCCACTTTATTTCCAGCGTAGGATCTAAAAATAAAACTCAACTAAGTAAGACGTTGCTACATTTTAGAGTGATAGAGCACCTCCTCTTTCATCACCCTGTATAATTTAAAGTAAATAAAATTGATCTTATATAGAGTTGTGGAATTGACTGATCAATTAACCGAAATAATTTTAAAAATACTGTGAAATTTATATTTATTTATTTATATTGTGCGTTACCTAGCCGTCGCGTCGTCCTGGGAACCAAATCGTGTCGATATTAGTATTGGGATTTGCCGAAGTATCGTATTCGGATATCCCTTAAGAGGGTTATAGGTTTGGACTTCACAAACGCATAATAATTTTTTTTTTATAATTTTATTATTTTATAGTTTCAAAGCATTTACACAATTAATTTCCCTGAGACATTTTCGTCCATTACAAAGGAATACAGTGCCGAGTATTGGGAATAGAATGCGGTTTATTTAAATTAAATTAAAAGAAAATTAACTAGACATAAAAATAAAATCGCTCCCCTACCAACGCCGTTTGTATACACGACCCGACTATGTCAATCATTAACAAAATGAAGAAAAAAAATACAATTTCTTGTTCGTTTTCTCGGTAGGTTCCAAAACAAATAAGTGAAAACGTCATCCCGGCCCATGAGAAATGACTTCAATTTGGATCTTCTTGGGAGGTTCGTATTAGAAGTTACGCCTTTTAGCTTAAAGTACTAACTACTGGCATTCCGAAACCCTTCCACCTATCTAATTTAATTAACCAACACAATTAACTTCTGTGGCGCATTTTCTTATTAATTTCGTTACACACATTTGTATTTGACTAGTTTTTGGTTTGAGTTATCATTTACGGCGGACACACTAATTTATCACTGCTCGGGTTGGCACTAACTTAGCAAATGGCAACGAAGGCTGCCCATTATTAATTTACTAAGAAAGTATGAATATTGTGTTGACCAATTTTACTATGAGGAGGAAAATGGCAGACGTTTTACTTTTCATATTTAAGTTTGATTATGCTCTTTCAAAAAAAGAAACAAACAATAACGAGAAAGCCTTAAGAAAACGGAATTTCAACTATGTCTAGAAAATCATGGCACTAAATTTTGCATCATCCTGTACACGGAGATAGATTTTTTGTACTTGGGGGATGGTATCCAAGTAAACAATATCCTCGATTTAGCTTAACCACAATTAAAGTGAAAAATTATCCATTTTAATGACAACATTAATGTTTTAAAGAATATTTGGTATGGTGTCTAAGTAACTACAACAATTGTTTATAAACGCATACGATTGTCTGAAGAAGTTTATTATCAACTGCATTTTGAGTAAGCTATCTGCACAGAGTTTTTATCTTGGTACCTTATTTATGTCAAATTATAGGTGCCCCACTATATTATTTTGGACCCAGTAACACTAATAATAAGGTTTGTTATCAACTTCACTTAATCACAAGTATCATAGCTTCAGAACAGTTCTATAAATAAAGTAAATAAAAAACAACAGCCTCTTACTTTATTTAAAACATTAATATGCTCAGATTTTGCTGATTGATAATGGGTCGACAGTGTGAAATACTAAAATCTTCTTATGACATAAGTCATGACCATGAACTTCACATTCTCATTCTCATTCTGTTATAATTTTTTTTCTCAACCAAAATGATTTGTTTGAATTACCCAAGTATATAACACCATTCGATATAATTGAACAAGTAGAATATTGAGCAACTTCATTGTTACCTGTAGCCCGCATATTCCTAAATTTGAGCTAATATTGGGTACCCCTCTTTCAATATGGTTCAAGTTAGTTGCTAATTTAAAAATACGACAAGAGGAATAGCACCAGGACAAACTATTCTCCATTGTCATATCATCAGTATAAATTAAAACACTTATGTTCTGTTTTATTGTCACAAACAGTGCAACTCCCAAGTATTCTACAGAATAGAAACTGAATTTCGTTGGAGACCCCCACTATTCATGGATTTACTGCCATCAATTTCAATAATTTGTGAACGGCGTTTATGGTGAGACTTTATCGATTGCGCTGTGGTTACGTAAACGACTCAAATCAAGAATTATCCCTCAACTATTTGATGGGTATTAAGAGAAGTAATTATGTATTGGTGAGGAATTGATTGGCTTCTTCGTAGGACGTCCTACAAAACGCTGACTTATCATTTCGAAAAGAAACCATACTTCTCCAAATGTTTCCTCCTTAATCTAAAATACCTCATTATACCCGAATTAAGAATATAGGGAGTGGCGGCTTCGTCGCGGCACAAGAAATATTTTGAAGTCAAAATAGTTTTTAAATGCATTTTATTTTAGGTGTCTGAATTGAAGCATTGTGCACTTAGTTCTAGGGTAATAGTGTACTGTATTATAAGTCAGTAGGTTTTATTTTTGACTATCAGTAAACTGACATAAGTAAATGCATACCAAATCAAAGATTCAGAACTGATAAATGACTAATCTTGAAATACTATCAATACCTTTTATTGCTTTTTGTATAGAAATATATATATATATATATATATATATATATATATATATATATATATATATATATATATATATATATATATATATATATATATATATATATATATATATATATATATATATATATATACATATATATATTTGTGATTATGTAATTATTAGATAATGGACAAAAAGATTGAACTGCTTGACAGTTGATTAAAGATAAAAAGAAGTGAACATTTTAAAAGGCAAATTAAAACCAAACACGGAACTGCAGTGACTGCCACATAAGTAGGAGACTGTCTTATTTGAAGACTCAGGGGAATCCATCCCAAATTCCACCAAACTTAGCAGATGAATGTGAGACTGAGTATACAAGTAGCAGATGAAAGCTGCTGGTTGGTGCCATAAGGGTACCATGGATAATAATTTTCTTTGGTTTCCCAAAGTTTTGCACAACTTTCAATGGCATTTACTAAAATTCAAATGACCTGTGAATTTAGTTAGTTTGAATTTGGGGAATGTGAATATAATAATAATAACAATAATAATAAGTACTTAATAACTAATTTGCACGTATTTACTTTGTTCGAAGAATTAAGAGAAATGACAAAAAACCGCTTATTTGTATTTTTGCCGAATTTGAGCTTATTGCATAAAATCTTTCTCAAAAAGCTAAATTAGACTTCGAATTATTTGGCTTTATGCCAGTGCTATCCTGTGAAATACTCAGCGTACTTCGCTCGTACTATCTTTTTTGTCTTAGAACTAGTAGGTTTAAAATAGTTTAAGAAAATGAAGACCGAGTTTTATTAAAGCAAATGTCAAGATGATTTAGTATTATTCGATTTTCATCCATGTTTATGTTGTTATTTTTATGTTGTATTATCGCCCTTGCAAAAAATAATTTCAAATTAGAGGCTTTTTAATTCAATTTGGAGTGAATTGTTTGCTAACACGTGTTGTTATATTGAAATCAATTGATTCATTAATATTTTTATTTGAATAGAATTTATTACCAAATTAAAGTTTTCGCCTCTTCATATTTATAAGTGTACTAATAAAAGTTAGCAATTTTTGCTATTTTTTTTTGTTTTCTAAATAATTAGGATATACTATGTCAATGATATATTTTATTTGCAAAACATCCATAACAAAAACTGAGGGCAAATAAATCGTCCAACCAAGAAAATTATTATTTAATATATTCTTGGCCAAAATAAAATAGATCTACATTTTGTTAATATTGACGAAACCATAGTGTGTATTGATATAAGTAAGCTTATTTTTAGAGGTTTTGTCAATAATGCTTAAAATGTTCTGTAAAGTTTTGAGAAAACCGAAAATGTTTCTTGGGACGGCACTTCGCACATTTCCGATACTTTAGTCGCGGGTTTCAGAGTGGTGACGTCATACGTCAATCAGTGTATTCTTGCTGCGAAAATTAATGATCGCTGAAAAATTTCTTGAATTGACAAGACTTCTGGTTCCGCTAGCACCAAAAAAAATCCGTGACTAAAATGACCTTTTATCATGTATCACCTAAGTGACCGAAAATTCCGTTTCCCAAATTCACCTGTTGTTTACATGGTTATAAAAATGTTAGAAATGTCATTTATCAAATTATACCCATTTTTTGAAATTTCCCAGAAATTTCTTGTATTGTATTTACAAATAAATAAACTCTTAAAAGGTTGACTCGATACTATCTACATACAAACTTTTATATATTACAAACTTGCTGTCGTGTTTACATTGTAAATCTAGGCAAAAACGTAGACAATCTTGCAAGGGATTAATCCTATTTGCTTTTTATGGTTTCGTTCAAATAATATACGTGGCAATTACGCTAACAGTTAAAACATATCAGTGGCGATCATCGTCAAGTCAACGTGCAACCTTGAATTATGGATAAAGTATCGAAGTGTTTCGTTCTATGCTACTTGCTATTTTCGGTGAGTTTTGTATAAGATCTAAGCTCTGAATGATACTGGCAATATACTTTTCTTCTCCCCATGCAAATGATTATATTTTTCCAGGTGGTTGCCTGCAAGCCTATGAGTATTTCAGATCATCAGTCAAGGGAATGGGCACTGCAGTCCACAATCTTAAACGATATCACCAACTTAAAGAATAAACTGCAAGAAGAGATGCAAAAAGTTAAACTCTTACTCGATTTTAACCAACACACGATTGACAACTTGGAAAAGGATCTTCAAATAACGGTAACCAAATCTAAGAGAGACGCGCTCTCACATGGTAATGACATCAACTCATGCGTTAGACAATTAAAGTACCTTACCAGAAATATGGACCTTAACGCACTCGAAACTTGCATGGGCGACAAAGAGATAGATAGTGAACTATGGAAATTAGGTTTTATGGTATCGAGTATGGCGGAGGAAGTAAAAAAATGTTCCCTACCGTACTCACCAAGAGTACTCAACTGCATTGAACAAGTGTTGTCCAAGGTTGAATTCGAGTCTTCAAGGATACTGAAAAAAGTAAATCTTCAGCTGAAGTTGGTTTTCTACGAAGGACTAATATGTGTCAACAGAATCGCGAGTAATTTACAGGACAAATTGTGTAAACTCAGCAAAGATTTCGATAAGTGTGTAGTGAGGAAAAAATGCAAGGTCAATCAATCAAAATAATTCAATTTGCCGGTTACTTGGAAAGACGGTGCAAGGTAATTCATTTACATACATATACGATAATCCCGACTTGATAAGTTTAACGTGTTTTATGTTTTCGCTGGAAGCAACAGATGAGAAAAACGTTATGTTTTGTCTAACATGTGGGGGTCAGGAGGCGAAGTAGTCCGTCGCTTGGGCAGTAGTGCAGAAAATTATTTAAGACGCTGTCGTAAATAAAATTACAAGTGTGTTTCGAATAGGCGCGATAAGGATTATAAGGCTTTGTTTCCAGTTCAATTCTATAAATAGTTTTGTATTTTTCTCTTACAATCCGCTCTTCAAAAATTTAGCTTTTCAACATATCATTTTATTATATCCCACAATTGTATAATTTATATTAACAATGCATTTTGAAGCAAAACAGGAACTAGGAGCTTTTATAATTTTGTATGTTCATTTGTTATAGTGAATAATTTGATTTCCTCAAAGATTATTACCATTAAAAAAATGTTAATTAATTGTTTAATAAAAATTGATGAAGCATTTTCATAAAATGGTAAAATGGACTTTCATTTTTTATTTTATTGTTATTAAAAAAGCTTGAATTGACAAAGGTTTTACGAAATTCAAATTTTATTAAACAAGAGCCATGGGTTTCTTTGTAAAGCAAAGCGTGAATTAAAAAACCTTTGACTTTTAGAGCGTTTGACGTTCATAAAAACTATTTACACACAAGGTTCACGATTAAATCCATAAACTTCTTAAGAACCTCTGCAAAAAAACAAAACTTGAACTAAGGGTTAATAATATACGCTTTTATACAGGGCGATCCGTTCTTGATGGGATGATACCTTATCCTAAAATGTGTAAAAAATATCAAATAAACTTAAAGGTTTGTATTTCAGTGAACAAGTAAAGTTTATTATTATAATTATTTATTGTTAAATTATTTTAAATAATACAGCCTGTATATTGAGGCATATATTAATTCCTCGGTACTTTCTGGACATATTTTATATATAATAACCCGATATATTTTGAATTTTATGTCAAAAGTGACGTTTGCAATTCGAAAAGGATCTGCGCTGGTGGTATGTAAAGATGTTTAAAAACTGGACGAATACTGTGCGATTAAAAGGTAACAACACGTTAATAAAATGTCCATAAAAGCCTTTTTTTTTCAAGAGGAAAAAAACACTTTCTATGAGTTTTCATATTTGACAAAGTTGTAAATTTCGAAATATTAGCTGTAAAACATTCTCTCAATGTAAAAATACCATGGCGAAGAAAGATGGCGCAAAAAAAAAAATCGAAAATAGAGAGAAATCACCATCTCAGCTATCTTATACTCAGTTATAAAACGTATTTATTACAAATACCTATATAATGGAGACACTAATAAGAGCACATAAAGCAAATTAAAAATAGAGTTTTTTGTTATTATATTTGCAACATTCAGAAAAAATATATGGAATTGAAATTTTTATTAATTAATTATAATTTTTTTACTATTATTATATTGAAGGTTCTCGTCTATCTTGTGCATGTGTAAAGGTTTTTGATAAAATTTGTTCTATTAATAGAATGGAATTAATAGAAAAATTGTTAAAGATTACTATATTTCTAATAGGTGTCATTTCTTTAATGCTCAATTGTTTTCTTCTCTGTTATGATTCGAAGCTATCTTCTTGGTAAACGAACTTTCAAAATAGGAAACTTTATTTTAATTAATCATTCTTTCATTCAAATTTTTAATATTAGTGTTTACTAGGCTATTTTATTTATTGTCAAAACATCAACACATACCCAGTTTGGGCGTCAATTTTTTATGTTTTTTGTGCAGTCTGAGATAAGGTATCATCCCATGCATCTCATCAATATGTACAGGCCACCAAATACATATACCCATAACGTTATTATTTTAATAGATTCACTTAATCTAATTGAACAAAAAAATCCCTGCAAAGCAGAAAGAAATGATTTTTCAAGGAATGTTACTTAGACCATTTGAGAATTTGTGTTTTCATTTTTTTTTTTTGGAAAATACTAAATTTAAAGTGAAACCTTTTACGATAAATTACATACACATAGCTAAAAGCTAAATTTGAAGGCCTAAACTGAACTTTTTTTTCTGTATTGCAATAAACAATAAAATTCGACCAAACGAATAAGGCCTAGTTTCCTGAAGCTGGTTTGACATCCTAAACACCACTTTTATTTTTCGGGCGCATAATAAGCAATCAGATGACGCGAAATGTATTTTCCTCAAGGCGAAAAAGTTTGTTTTGTTGCGATAAAAATATAGAATACTTTTGTATTTTCGTAATTAGACCCCCATCCATGCAAATGTCCGAGGACTACCTTGTATTAAAATGTCGTTAAAATGTCTCCATGCGCGTCGCGTAGCCAAAAAAATAATATCGGGCACACCGTTAAGGGCAAATCATTAGCATAATTTGCAAGTTTAAGTTACACGATATGCGAAAACAATGAAGGCAAAGTTCGATTTAAGTGCCGCCAATTAACATAAATTTTATGGGAGTTTTAACGGGTTACTAATTAAAAGTCCGAAGTCGAACTGAAATTAAGTTATCATTTCGAAATAATATAACCTTTCAAAAAATAAATAAATAAACTTTCAGCCAATTTGTATCCTGTGTTTGCTCGTTAAGGCAAGGACTGCGAGAGTACAGTTTATGAAGTTATTATGGGGGAATAGGTGTGTGCGCAAACTAAAGTTAATTAGGATTTTTTTCATATCGACAAGACATTAACGTTACTCTGAAAAGGACGAAAAAATTGCATAAATTGGGTTCCACGTAACTATTGCGATTCGGAACTACTTCCTGCAAACAGCAATACAACCGTACTATCTATATATATATAATATAAAATAATATTAATAATAATAACAATAATAATAATAATAATAATAACATGTCTTTAATTCTGTATATCCATACTTTCTACAAATAACCGTTTATTATTATTATTTAATAGTATCATTATGAAATATGGACGAAATAAATATGTTAGCCACCCTGATCTATTTAACCCAACGGATTGAGAAACAATAACTCTTTTTTTATGGCGACGGCGATAGCATATTAACAGAAAACAAAATTTTACTTCTTCTCACACTAATTAAGGTATCCTATTTTGTTCACGTTTGTTAAAGATAGACTGTGCTTTTTTTTTTAAACTTCACTTTAAAAAAAATATCTGAAAGCATAAAATTTAAATCTACTTGGAGTCAGGGCTTTGAAGTTATTAGGAAGACTATTATACAATTTGGCTATATTAAAGCAAAAACCACGCCCAAATAATTTTGTTTTATGTAGAGGAGAACTTGTGGGACCTCTAAATCTAATATTTAAATTATGAACATGAGATCTGAACACAATCTATCCGTACAGATGTTGAGGACTCTTGTATATAATATAAAAGTGAAATATAATAATAATAGTAATAATGATAAATAGTAAAGAATGGTTAGAGTGACCCTAGTATTTAACTTCTATGGACTTCTTTTTTATGAAATTTCTTGATTTAACAACAGAATATATACATATAGTTTACAAAAATTATCTGGATCGTGATTAAGCGTACTCCAGTATAAAAAGCTACTAGATATTAACAGGAAGTTGGTTATATATGTTGGAAGCCTGATAAATAACGGTATATAATCCCTTGCGTTTGTTCCTCTATACATTTTATCACAAGTAGATCTTAAAAATGTTATTTCGTTAATATACATACCTATGACATGAATATAGTTCCATGTTAAATGTGATGGCGGTGACACTGGATAATATTAGATCCAAATGACCTTTGTCATATTTATGGTAGTTATGTCGTATTAAAGCAAAGGAAAACTATAACTTCTTTTGTGGAAAAAACGCTTATTTTAGTTTGCGTGGAAAAAATGTGTAAGCTTTGGTGTTCGTATGGTATGGGGAGAGCCTAGGAATCACAAATGTTTATTATTTTTGTTCGTGTAATGTTCAAGGATTCAACAGACAACAACAATCTTGACTCTGCTATTCGACCAGTTCCTCATACACCAGATATAACGATATGCTCCAAAAGAACTAGAAAACGTCATATCATGAACATTCATTTCATTCAAGAATTTTAGTTTTATCGAATAAAATTTTTTGTCCGGTTTCGTGATTGTCTTCGGCAACTGCTGATGAGTTTATTTGTCTTAGTCTTAAGGCTGTTTCATGTTCTTTGAGCCTATGCATGGATTGCTGTAAACGGACGGACCGAAGATGTTGAGAGGCTTTTGGACAAGTGGTAAATCTGGTTTTGACGTTATATTTCTTTAGAACTTTTATTACTTTTAATAACAGTGATGTTTTGAATGTAATTAAAGACAACAATGGCAAGTGTGAGATTGCTTTCGGGTTCATTGCTATTGGAAGGTGTGTGTGTATTTTGTGATGAAACGCTTTAATGTGGAAATTATTAGAGAGAAGAGAAAAGGTAAGTTATTTTAATTCTGGGTTCAATGACTCAGTTACGGCTCTGTAAACAAGAGAATTGATAACCGATGATTTTTGTGAGTCATGGGGTGATGTGACAATGCATTAAAGTATTGGTCTTTGTGCATAGGTTTTCTGTAAACACAATGATCCAATGTAATGTAATTCAATGGCAAAACGTATGTTAGGGTGGACAGAGTTTAAATGTCTAAGAAAATCTACTAGGGATTCCTGACCATGAGGCAAAATATCAAAAGTATCATCGACATAGAGTTTCCACAATTTTGGTTTTAGATGGTAGGTATCGAGAGCTTTCTTCTCAAAGGCTTCCATAAATATATTCGCCATGACTGGTGATAGTGGAGAACCCATAGCCATTCCCGGCGTTCAAAAATTTGGCAGAAAAATATGTTCCAGACAAGCATATCTGATATTATGGTGAGAGTTTCAGAAATAGGAACTTTAGTAAAGAGGGATTCTATGTCGAAACTAACCGGAATATCTTGCGAATCTAATGTAATGCTTTTTATGTGTTCAATGAAGTTCAATGAATTAAGTACGAAACTCAGTTTTCACTGTAAAGGGTTTTAATAAGGAAGGTAGATATTTTGCTAGAGAATATGTTGGAGAACCAACGGAGCTGACAATAGGTCGAAGGGGAAATCGTGGTTTGTGAATCTTTGGGAGTCCGTTGAGACGAGGAATTCTAGAGTCATGGGGGGGTGACAGATTTTTTTACGGAGTCTGACAGAGAAGAAGCCTGAATGATAAATTTTTTTTAAGTTGACGACATGATCCGTCTGTAAGAATATCTTGAATCCTTTCCTGATATTCATGACTACTCTTTATCTGCTTTTAGGATTACGATGTCGGGATTAGATTTTAGAGAGTTTAGGGCAATGCGTTCAGGATTTGCAATATTAGATTTAG